ATCTTAGAAGATATATGCACTGATTTATTTAGATTTAAAGTGCTATCATGTCTGCAACTAATTCTCAAAGGGTTCAGGGGGGAAGAACATACAAAATACCATGTGCTTGTGGGTGTGGAGAGATTGAATGCTCACAAATGTGACAAAATGCTATACATGAGTCTGAGTGAAGTAGTGATGGCTATTCATGTTGGACTCTTGAAACTTTCCTCTAAATTCAACATTGTTCAAAAGAAAACATTAGAGAAAAAAATACTTCGGGTCACTAATAATTCTTTCAAATTTGTAAAAATAGTATAAACATGATATAATTGAAGAATTAGGTAATGAATAATTATCTCATATGGTGGCCTATTAATTGGGTTTTATCAGTGATATGTCATTGTTATATATGTATAAGATAGCCCTAGTTGGTCCTCTTAAGAGGCAATCTTTAATTAAATTGTCATTTAAATCCTTTTTTATCTGACAGGAAAACATAAAACTCTTGATGTCTAGTAATAGGATTAGAAGGGAACATTGTCTAATTTGCTATTAAATAAATAAGCTAAATAACTAGAAGCTGCCTATAAATAGATATTATTACTTTGAAACATCTCCATTGAATAAATTTTCATGACCTTTGAAGTGTTTAAACAGAGGGTCATATTTATTTCTGAATTTTCTAAGATTATTTTTAAGAAGAATGAGCCTATAAAAATCTAGTTAATATGCACTGTGACCCTTTAAAAAAAGCATCAGGAATTAAGACTGAAAATTTAATGCACATGCATAAATATAACATAATGTATGTTTAATTTATATTCCTTATTGGCCTTTGAAGAAAATGGAGCATAAAGACTGGACTGGGGTGGTGGAGAAGGAATAGTAGGTGGAATTGAGAGGAGAAAGGGGAGGGCAGGGGGGCGGGCAGAGCAAACGACAGGAGAAGGGGGCAACACATCTTCTGAGGAAGAAAGGTTTAACAGATTTGGGGGTGTTTTTCTTTAATTATGTTTAGTTGATGTAATTTTCTTGCCATCTAGTGTTCTTTAGTGATTGATCCCATTAATCATAATTTACAGTTTTCATATTTTTGTAATCTTTATTTTTAGACTCTACTCATGATGAAACATTTGAAGCAACTTATTATGGTGGAAATTTTCCCCCATGATAGAGCAAGAGCTACTAGAGCAATATCACTCCTTGGACCAGATGAAATCAGTCTTTACCAATATTTTAATTTATTACAATGAAGCTCATACACAGGAAAATTATAGTGAATCATGATCTTTTGAAATTGAGTTTTGGCAGAGCTTGATTTTTCAAAAAGGATTTTCTTTGTTGTGAGACTATTTTGTTGAGAAAATTGTATTTTATGTCTCCTACTTTTCCATCCTCTGTCATCTCAAATTACTATGGAGCAAAGATCAGAATCCAGCTGTTGAGGTTGTTCTCTGTTCAGGGGGAAATAGCTATGTGTTTCAACTCTAGGCTGATCAGTAAATTCATGGGTAAAATGATAACTGATCCTAATAAGTAAACTTTTTAAAGGCTTTTTGTGTTGTTGTTTTTTACCTTGCAAGATGCATTTCATTTCTTCATAGTATTTGCTTTTCTTTTACCAAAATTAACGCAACAAAAGGATAAAGGATCAGATGAACCTAAGGTTCCTTAGAAGTCAGAGACTGAACAATTTAAGGAAAATGAACAAAATGCAGGCAGATGAACAATTTTAGGAAAAAGTAAAAATTTCCCCTTGGATGCTTTAAAAGCTAATTTTTGTCTCCCACTTTTTCCAGCCATTACTTTCTCTCTTTTTTTGCATATATTTATTTTTACAGGCATGGGAGGTTTTACTGGGCATTCACTTCTCTTATCTCAGTTCTTCCTGCTTGCTTCTCTTTTTCATTTCCATGTGTTTGTTTTTCTGACATGTATTAATCAAAGTCCACATTATATTGCAGACGGGGCCTATCTCATTGGGGCTGACGTCATATCCACTTCCAGCTCGCCCTTCATTTTGGTTTCTAAGACTGTGTTCTTCAATACCCACCCCCCTCCACCATCTCCATTAGTGATGTATGTGAAGTCCCCAGGATGTCTGTCACTGTCCCCTTGCCAGCTCCTGGATAACAGCCAATCTTAGATCACAGAAGTTTAATGATGAATCCATATCTGTCATGAGCTGGAATTGCTGCAGGGCACATAGTAGGTAACGGCCTAATAAATGTCTGATGGATGAATAAAGAAATGAATGTGCAAAGGAATAGAGCTCATAACTGAAGTCCTTAAGGAATGAAGCTGTTTAGGCAAGCACTTCTGTCCACAGTATAGCCAATTAAGTGTGCAGATAGAAGCATGCATGTGTCCCCATATCCATTAGTGATTACAGACTCCAGCCTTCGGTTTCCCTGGTGAATTCATATGCAAGCTGACCTGACAGGAACTGCTTGCCCTGTGAGTAATCACAAGACTTCCAGGGAAAAGGATGTCAGATGGGGTTCCATATTTAGCTTCACCTTTAGTGTGAAATGACTCTCTCTATCCTAAGTATTTGAGGGATCAGCTCTCATTAGCATTCATGCTTGAAATATAACCTTACAAAATCTGTACTCTCTCACATTGATTAAGAGCAAAATCATCTTTGACAAATTTTTGGATTGAATTGGCCAGGCACAGTTCTCCCTAAGTCCACGGGTTTCACATTTTGCACACGTTCTCCCATTTCATTGTGTTTTAAGCCAGGTTGCTATTATATAGAGCACTTTAGCAGCCTTGATCTTGGAGACATCAAGACCATTATTCCTGTTGTTGCTGATTTAGTGTTACAGCTGCTTCCTCTTTATGTGATTTAATTTGAAGTTTCAGCCCACCAGGGGGCTATTGGTCCCCACCTATGCAGCTTGAGAGCTGGCTGCTGTTTCTGCTTGGATGTTATTTCCATTCCTATTCATAGTGATTTTTCCCCTTCTATATTCATCTAGCAACAGCAAGGCACTGTTCCAGGAACTTGCTCGCTCTACATAAGGCGTAACGTGGAACCATTTGGATGGAAAAATTATAAATTAAAATTATTCTGTTCATTTTAAAATATTCATATTGTGTTGCTCAAATGCCAGTAACTGGAAAATCATGGATAATGTCCTGTTTTTATAACCTCTTTCAGAGTGTTTTAAAATCTGTTTATGTTGTTACTTAGCCATCTCTTTTCCTGGAGTGGATTTTGTGATAAGATTTAAAAGAAAAAAGGTTGTATGAGTCCAGTGTCTGATGGCATATGTAATATTAAAATAAAGATGTTGCCACTAATTACAATCCGTTTTTTTAAAAATAGAACAGTATTTACTCCATGGACAAAGAATATTTATAAAATTATAAGACTACACAGGGAGCCTATACACATGTTAGACTGTTTCTTCTGAGGATACATTTTCTTTATTATATGAGTAAAACGAAACAAAGGTGTATTACTTTCTGGAACTATGTATTTAATTTAATTTAAGAAAACCCATATATTCATAACACCACTGCTTTTCAAATACTGCAAACATCGACAGCTTCTTAAATGGAGCTTTTATGTTTTGTTATATCCTGTTTTCTGTGATAGTTGTTTCTTTAATTTCAGGAAACGAAAATCCTATTTCTATCCTTGTATTTCCTGTGTTGTTTAGGTGTGGGTGAGGATGTGCATGTCTCAGAAAGACAAGTGGGGAAAAGGGAACATGTTTTTGTGTGGGTTGGCTAGTTTTTTGATTAATAACTACATCTCTTAGTGATTGGAGATCTTAACTTCATGTATGTTTCTCCCTCTGTGGAACACATTAAGGAAGGGAAGTTCTTTGCTTTTTGCTCCTATATTCTGTTAGTTTTCAGTTTACATTCACATAAAAGCCATGTGTTTTATTTGTTGTCTCTCTTGGCTAGGAATATTTAATGTATGTTTGAAACTCTTCTGTTCCATCAACTAAAAACGATTTAAAATTATAATTTTAAGATTCTTTCCAGAAACGTATACTTCTGGTTGAGGCTGTGGTCTTTCTTTGTGTGCCTTGTGCGTGTGTTGAGGTTCTTCAAAACCAACAAATCACTTCAGCGTGAACACATTTCACAGGCCCATTTTATTGTTTGTTGAGACTTGTGAATCATTTGGCATTTTCAAATAGGCTAATCCTTTAATTGAATGTGCATTCAGAAGCACTCTGTGTGCCATGCAAACCTGGGTAACTCTTGCTAACTCTGTATTATTCATTTTATTTAATACTAGGTTATCCAAAAGTATTTCCTTTCGATTTTTGAAGGAAGTTAATGTAGGCTGTGTTATTTGAAGTCAGGATTGCTTACAACAACAACAGCAACAAAACATGTAGACATTTTCCTGCCTGAGGTCCCATGGATGGGAAATAGGATGCAAACTGTCAGTAAGCAGGTTTCCGACACAAATACTTATACAGCAACCAACTTCTTTGAACAAAGTCCTGCATTCTGTTCTTAATTGACTAAAGAAGTCAAATTAGAATAGTTACTACAGGAGAAATGGATGCCTCATAATTAATAATTTGTGAGCTAAACCTTAACCACACTTGACATTTTTCCTTGAGTTGGTGACAGGCTGATTAGTGAGGTAACTGCTGATAGTACCTATTCTGTAGAGTGACTGTTCAGTTCTGGGGCTTCTGTTGTTCAGTAAAGTAGGTTTTCTCTGTGATGGGACTGCAGCCTTAGTCTTGATCAAAGTGCTTTGGAGGAAACAGGGTTGAACTGATTGGCTGTGAATGTTAATCACTCCATAGGACGCGCTGATAATTTACAGCATTGTTGTAACTCTCCGGTGTTCATAAAATGAACTTAATAAGCCAGTGCTACCATGGGATAAGCTGCTTTTTTTCCCCCCTGCAACTGAATACCCAGACTGCCTGCATAATAATGCTGAGAAATAGTGCATTAAAAAGAGTGAGCAGCTGTATGATGAAGGAAACAGCTCTGCAACAGATTTGTTCATTATCTCCTTTGATTCACAGAGGGTGTTTGCGAGATATGGTTGACCAGTGAAGACACAGGGGCTTATGGCAGAGATATTGGCACTGATCTCCCCACACTGCTGTGGAAGCTGGTTGAAGTGATTCCTGAGGGAGCAATGCTGAGGCTGGGCATGACAAATCCGCCCTATATTTTAGAGCATCTGGAGGTAAGGAAAAGCACCCCATTTCCATGCCGACACCGACAAAAACCAACCCAGACAGTGTGGCAGCCTCGGCATTATCACATGAGCTTCATTTAAAACCACTTTCTTATTTTTTGTGTGTGTGGTCCCACGTTACCAAGGATGAATTGAGAATGTCAAGTCCCCTTCTTTGTCAGTCTGCACATCTTGTTTTGCTTCCTCCCTGTTAATTACTGTTGCCTAGCTTTTCCAGCACTTGTCACAGGCCTTTGTTTCTTTTTTGCAGCCCTTCAGTTTTCCATTTTTTAAATTTGCCTCAATTCCTCCATTTAGAACCCTTTTCTAGTTCAGGGCTGCTAATACATTGCATTAATTTTGCAGGCAACAGCGAACCCCACATTGCCTATGTTACGACTGTTAGCCCTGTCAGTACGGATACTGTACTGTAAGTCTGAGGGTGTTAGGAATTTCATCCCTTTGTCAGGAGACAGTTAGGGGTGAGTAGCATCAAAGAGACACGGAGTTGGTGGTCTTCCATTTGCTTCTCTTGTAATCACTGTGAAAAAGGGAGTTGTGATAAAGTGAGATACCTGGTTTCATTTCTATACCTTCATGGACCAGGATGCCTCCCTTCAAGTTGCTTACCGTCAAACTAGAAAACGACGTGTGCACAAGTAGCTGTGGTTCCTGATGACAAATGCCACGATACATGAGCAATTAATATGGACAGGAAGCAATCATTCAATGAAAAGGCACATGCTAGGATCCATGACTAGTGTAGTGAATAAAATAATTCTATTAGGCCTAAAGTTATGGATAAGAAATTTAATAATTGCTGTTGGGAAGTCATGTGCAAAGTATAAACACAAGTCACATATTTTTAATCATATTTTAATTTTTGCAGTTAGTTTATGCAGAAAAATAACATTCCCCTAATTTAAAAGCTAGTGTAGTTGCTGAAATTTAATGCATAAATGCAAATGAATATTCAAAGATTGTTTCTGTTGATTTGATTTGAGACCTATACTTGTTAAGGTTGTTACTGAAAAGCCTCTCTGATATCAACAGCGGATTTTAGATATTCTGAAAACAGAGTTGCTAGCAACCTGATTGTTAATTATAAATTGTCATGAAGAAATTTAGCAATTTCAGTTTTGCTGTTTACATGTTCCTAGCCAGATTTTTAAGTAAAGGTATGCAATTTATATGTTAACTTCGGTACTTTGGACAATGTAGGGCAAATATAATTTGCTATTTTCAAATAAGTCACAGGCATGTCAATTTTAACTTAACTCTTTGATTCAACACTTGAAAAAGCAAGTAATTATCTGTAAGAATCAAATATGCTGAGACTACTGCAGTCTTGCTGTGTTTGCAGTAGATATGAAACATGCTTCATGAAAACCAAGACATGAGCTAGATCTGTGGTGGAAAGGAGGGGAATTAAGCCCTGCCAATACATAGTCAATAAACAGTTTTTGTCAAGGATCAAGGGAACCATAGTATCTCGTCAGAGAAGTTCAGGTAAGGAGTAAACACAGGGGGAACATTGTTTATTGGCTCTGAGATGACTAACCAAATACCTCTTGGAGTAAATCCAGCACTTTAATTAATTGCAAGATTGCAGAAACCGATAGCATATTTATAGCTCAGCACCTAAAGTAGTGCTAGTTGTTGACCTCTGGATAGATGCTTCAGGAGAGTGTCTTAAAAATCAACAGAAGATGATAACTACAGCCTTACATTTTACCTGGAAAAACACCAGATGTTTAATTCATGGACTGTGGTTAGAATGATCAGCTCTGATTGCCGTGACGTTACCCTTTTTAAATTCTTGCTGTAAGATATTTATAACGTTGGCCTTTCCTCCTATGTTGTGTCATTTGCCTGGGTCAAGGGCCTTGTCGTATCAATCTCTAGTTCTACCCCACCCAGGAATGGATCAATAAATGAGTGAATAAATGAAAGAACAAAAGAAGAGCCTTCTTCATAAAATAAATTGTGAGGCCTTAACATTCTGGCCAGAAGAGGCAACAGAAGATGACAAAGTAAATGAGCTGCAAGGGTGAGAGTTTGTCCAAAAAAAAGCCACCCATTCTTGTGTACTTTATAAGCAGTTCCGTGTGCCACACCTAGGGAGAAAGCTATCCAAAGGAGACAAATGAAAATGAAACAAGCGAAGCTGACTTAGTGTCCACCAATGGGAAGTCAGAGCTTTGAGGAAACCTTCCCACCTTGGTGTTCTCCTCCTCAGAGTGGAAGAGCCCAGAGTTTTCCATGTTCACAGACACATTCTACCTGATGGGGCAGGTCACCAGTCGCCAGAGGCTTCACTGGCTTCCCATCGAGCAAGGACGTTAGGGAAGGGAGCCCAGCCTGATGAACCTGGGCTTGCACCACCAATACATTATATTTCCTCGTTTTCCTCTTGCTAAGCTCAGACCACTCTAAAGAAATTACCCGGCTTATCTAAAGAGCGCTGAAGAGAGTTCACCAATAAGAAAAAAAAAAAAAAAGGAGACAAAATGAAAACAAAACAAAAAAATAACACCAGTGAGTGACAGGTGGTGATTATGTTGACCTGTAGGGAAGAAAGAAGAAACCCACTTTTGAAATAACTACTGGTGCTTTAATGCCCTTACAGGGAGGCTTCCTTGAGAATTACATTGGTGCTTCTGGAAGATGCTTCATGCTCAGACGTTAATTATAGGGCACTTCACTGGGCTGTTTTCCTGCTTCATTCTGTTCCCTTCCCATTCACCTGACTCTTGAGATGTTTTTAAAACCCTTTTACCAGCTTACTTTTTTTTTATTGAACAGTTTAAAGGTGTAATCATTTAAAGAAAAATACCAGTTTCTATCACCGTTTTAAGAGTAATGTGGAAAAAATAGATCTGTTGATAATACACATTGTTACATCTTTATAGGAACAGAAAATGCATACTATAGTTATATGCATATTATAGGATGCACTTTTAAGGTTTTATCAAGAGTCTAATATTATATGTGGCATATTATATAGTAGGTCTTTAATAAATGTGTAGTGAATAAATGGAAGGGAGAGAGAATTCTTACTCCCTAACAGGCAGGCAAGTAGTCAAGTGTCAGGAACATCTACAAAACCTATTGTTAACATATCACTGTGTGTAACAACATGGGATTCATTTTAAATGACTACATAGCTGACAAAGAGATGTATCAAGCAAATATGAAAAACTCCCTGGAATTGAAGAGACATAATAATGAGCTTATGTAACACTTATTAAATTTGGGTATAAAGTAGAAGCAATCTATATATCTAAAAGCCTAAGCAACTGTTAGACTGTTTGACCTTTCGATCGGTAGCTATGACGCACACTGACCACCAGGGAGCAGACGCCCAGTGCACAGGCATGGAAACATGGGACAAACTGATAAATTTCAGAGGGAAGGGGGTGGGGGGATGGTGGGAAGAGATTAACCAAAGATCTTATATGCATACTAGAGGCCTGGATCCATGCACCTGTGGGGTCTCTCTGCCTGGCCTGCACCCTCTTGCAATCAGGGACCCCTCAGGGGATGTAGGAGAGCTGGTTTCACCCGATACCCGCAGGCTAGGCCCAGGGACCCCACCAATGCATGAATCCATGCACGGGGCCTCTAGTAGGTAAAATAATAGATTAAAATAGTTTGTCTCATCTTAAAGCCTCTCTATTACCCACAGGCTAAAGGTAAGCTCTTTAGCATGAAATCCAGGTCCTTAGGATGTTTCTTCTATCACATCTCAGCTTTCCTCCCTTTAGTACCCTGATGATGCCGTGTGTGTTTGTGTGTATGCGTGTGTGTGTGTGTGTGTGTGTGGTGGTGGTGGTTGTTTTTTTGTGGGTTTTTTTTTGTGTGCCATTTTATACTCCTGAAAATTTTACTTCAACTTTTTCTCATTCTACATGTTAACAGTTGGTAATAATGTGTTAATCAGATATACTAATAATTGCTATTATGTGTATAGGCTAATATAATTGTCATTTAGTGGCAAATAAGAGATATTTTCCCTGTGTGTTTGCCTGCCTAATGATATAACTAAGGTAAAAACCCTGGCATACTTTTCTTCAATGATCTCTGACCTTTTAGAAAGTAGATGGCTTGTGAATTTGACTACTCTTGAAATGACATTGCTTAGTATTCCCCTCCCAGTTGTAGGTAGCACACAGCTGAGGTTTAATTGAGACTGATCATAATACACACGAACCCAACAAGGTGTGATGAGGCCAGTGACAGTGATACAATGGCTATTGCTAACTGGGCACCAGACTTCACTGGCAACTTTCTTCAAGACTGAACAACAACAACAACAACAACAATAATATCAGTACAATATATTGAGTGCTTATTATAATCAAGAAACCATGTTGATTGCTTTACACACAATATCTCTTTCCCTAGCTGCAGAGATATTATTATCCTCATTTTGTTGATTAAGAAGCCTTGTCTTAGAAAGCTTTAATAATTGGCCAAATTACATAAATAGGTAGCAGCTGAATTGTTTCTAATCTCATCTGTCTCTAAAATGCTTTCTATTACACCGTTTCTTCCATGAAGCCTTCCCAGATGCTCCCAGATTCCTTTCCTGCTTTTTCACTCTGTCCCAGATATCACTGCTGCACTCCTCATGGGGAGCCATGATCACTTACTTACATGTACATTCAAGAAAACTGTGGTCATCTTGGGGAGAGACTGTCTTGGTCATCTCCACATTTCAGTGCCTGTGATAATGTGCACTTACTAAATGTATATTAAATGATACGGTAGCTCTAACTTTAGCTATTTCTTGACTGCATACTTTTATAGTAAAGTATCCTCATATCTGTGCTGAAGATCTAGTTTGGGAGGAATTTGTGGATGGTTGTCATAAGTGTTTCTCAATTTTGAGTCACACTTCTGTGACTAAGGGATGCATTTTATTTATTTGCTCTGCTAAAGTATCAGTGGTAGAGATTATCTTTCAGACTACCTAGAGCAGCTGAGTTCATTGTATGATTATCAAA